TCTACAGGAAGTTTATTAGGAATTTTTCAGGTCTGGTCTCCCCTATCACGCAGTTGACTAAGTCAGGGACCCGCTTCAAATGGACATCAGAAGCTCAGGAAGCATTCGAGACCCTGAAACGACTGTTTACCACCACCCCCCATTCTGGGTCACCCGGACACTGCACTACCTTATGTGCTAGAGGTGGATGCATCCGAGAACGGTGGGATCAATTTTATCCCAGAGGGAAGGACCTAAAGAATTGTTGCACCCAGTGGCATTCTTCTCCAGGAAACTTACTCCGGCAGAACGCAACTATAACATCGGGGATCGAGAACTATTGGCCATCAAAACCGCCCTGGAGGAGTGGAGATACCTGCTGGAAGGAGCGGCTCACCCAATTTTTATTTTTACTGACCATAAGAGACCTCGAATACCTGAGAACAGCTAAACGCTTAAGGCCACGCCAAGCCAGGTGGGCTCTTTTCTTCTCACGTTTTTCCTTCCACATCACCTACAGGCCGGGTTCAAAGAACACAAAGCCAGATGCCCTTTCGCGCATGTTTGAGGATCCCAAGGAAGAACTCAGGCCGGATACCATTCTGTCATCAGGAAACGTTTTGGCCCTCCAAACGGAGCTGCGTGCTAAGCTGCAAGACGCATCTGGGACTTGCCCCCCCTCTACCAGCAATACCACTCTCCCTCGAAGGAGGATTGTTACGAAAGGAGGGATTGATTGTGGTACCGGAAGATGTGCAGACGCAGGTGTTAGGGCACTGTCACGATCACCCAATGGCTGGGCACTTTGGAGTGGCAAAAACGCTGGAGCTGCTTAAACGCACCTTCTGGTGGCCTGACATGAACAAGGATTGCAAACGCTACGTAAAGTCTTGTGCGATTTGCCAGAGGAATAAACCCAACCAGAAATAAGGCTTGGGGGCTGCTACGCCCACTACCCATTCCTGCTCGATGCTGGCAGATGATAGCAATGGCTTTTATAGTGGAACTACCCCCGTCCCAGGGCCATACGGCAATCTTCATTATTGTGGACCGTCTGCCAAAGATGGCCCATTTTGTACCCCTGAAAGGTACCCCATCAGCTGAAGAGACCGCTCGGATTTTCATCAAAGAAGTGGTCAGATTACATGGGGTTCCAGAAGATGTAGTGTCTGACCGGGGGGTACAATTTACCTCTAAGTTTTGGAGAGCCTTATGCAAGGCTCTGGGCATGAAGCTCTCACTTTCCTCCGCCTTTCATCCACAAACCAACGAACAGACGGAAAGAACCAACCAGACGTTGGAACAGTACCTGAGGTGTTACACATCGTTTTTACAGAATGACTGGCTGACCCTCTTGCCCTTAGCAGAATTTGCTTTCAATAATGCAAACCACTCCACCACAGGGCAATCGCCATTTTTTGCGAATTACGGATTCCACCCCACATTCATGCCTGATCTGGTTGTTGAAAGCACGGTTCCAGCTACCCAAAGCATGATCGATTTTTTTCTCAGATAACAACAAACTGCTGCAGGAGGCCATGGCTAAAGCCCAGGAAGACAACAAAGAGGCGTTTGACAAGAAGCGAAGGGGGGAATTGGTGCTGCAGCCAGAAGATAAGGTCTGGCTGGCAACAACTAACCTAAAATTACGTTGTCCGTCAAAAAAGCTAGGACCAAAATTTTTAGGCCCCTTCCAGGTTAAACGCATGATCAATGAGGTGGCTTATGAGCTTGCCCTTCCGGAGACCTTTAAGATCCATCCGGTGTTTCATGTCTCATTGCTGAAACCAGTGGTCGCAGACCCATTTCCGGACCGGGAATCCAGGCCCCCTGAGGCTATTACAGTGGAGGGACAGGAAGAATTTGAGGTGGAAGCAATTCTGAACTGTCGTAGGAGGGGGGGCCAGACCCAGGTTTTGATTAAGTGGAAAGGCTATGGTCCTGAGGAGAATTCTTGGGAACCTGCTCAAAATGTTCATGCCCCCAGACTTATGCGGGAGTTTGTGCGTGGTTCACCCGCAGTGGAGAGATTAGTTGGGCACCCGGAGGATGCCCATGGGGGGGGGCAATGTCAGGGACCATCGCGACGCATGGGTCTACACATGCGTAGGCGTCTGTCAAGACATGCAGGTAGCAGGGCACTAGGACCCAGGCGCACCCGTCGTCTTGACAGTACTAGGCAGGCACTAGGACCTAGGCGGCGCCTGTCAGGTGCAGGGCGGGCTACTTAAACCAGCCCTGCACAGACGCTTGTTGCCGAATGGTCTTTTGTATCCTGTTGCCTGTGTAGTGAGTACTGTGATCTGGATTGTCTGACCTTGTTGCCTTCTCCTGTCCTGACCCCTTGGCTTGCCTGACTCTGCTCCTGGATGTTCCCTTATAGATCTGATCTTTTGGTATTGACCCTGCGTGTGACCCGACTATCCTTTGCCTATCGTCTTGTACCTCATCGACCCGCTAGTTATCGACCCGGCTTGTTTGACTCTGACTTTGCTCATCCGTCCATCCATCCCTCAGGGATCCCTGGGCTCCCTCACATCAGACTCTTAACCCGCTGGAGCCCTTGGCAGACTCCTCTACCTCTGGTAGAGATACCTAGCAGCTGCGACCTGGTCCCGGAGCGCTCCAAGTCCATCCCCACCATCAGGGGCCCTGGTGAACAAGTGCTCCGGTACTTAGACTCCGCACTCTGGGGAGGCTCTATCAGGGGACTGATAGAGGTACTGTCAGGCGGTCCGTTACACCGAGTCATAGCACGAACATGACCGTACCCCCCGTGAATTTTAATTCAGTGCCCCTGTGATAGACTGACACAAAGTGGCACATAATTGTGAAGTGGAAGGAAAAATGATAAATGGTTTTCAACATTTGTTACAAATAAATATCCGAAAATTGTGCAGTACATTTGTATTCAGCCCCCTTTACTCTGATACCCCTAACTATAATCTAGTGGAACAAATTGCCTTGAGTTAATTAGTAAATAGAGTCCCCCTGTGTGTCATGTGATCTCAGTATAAATACAGCTGTTCTGTGAAGTCCTCAGAGGTTTGTTAGAGAACATTAGTGAACAAACAGCATCATGAAGGCTGAGGAACACAACAGACAGGTCAGGGATAAAGTTGTGGAGAAGTGTAAAGCAGGGTTAGGTTATAGAAAAATCTCCCAAGCTTTGACCATCTCACAGAGCACTGTTCAATCCATCATCCGAAAATGGAAGGAGTACGGCACAACTGCCAACCTGCCAAGACATGGCCGTCCACCTAAACTGACAGGCCGGACAAGGAAAAGGTGTTTTTTTATGGATTATTATTCTGATTTCCCCTGTAGTTCCCCCTTTAGAACACCCGCCAGGCACAGTGCGGGTGATAGGACAAGGACAGGTTTGACAGTAATCCAAAAAAAGACCAGAAAGTCATGTTGGGGACAAGGCACCAGGTGTATATGGTAGAGGCATTAGACTGTGAGATCTTTCAGGGACTGGTGTGAGCTGTTCTGTGTAAAGCAGTGATTAATAAATGACCAGATATGGGGGGCTTTGTATGACATTCATCATATGCAGTACCACACGCGATGGTCAGAGACTGGAGATGTGCTGCTGGGGATGACTAGAGACTGGGGATATGCTACAGGAGATGGCAAGAGACTGGGAATGTGCTGCAAGAGATGGTCAGAGACTAGAGATGTGCTGCTGGGTATGACCAGAGACTGGGGATATGCTACAGGAGATGGTAAGAGACTGGGAATGTGCTGCAGGGGATGGTCAGACTTTGAAAATGCTGCAATAGATGGTCAGAAACTGGAAATGTGCTGCAGGGGATGGTTAGAGACTGGAAATGTGCTGCAGGGGATGGTTAGAGACTGGAGATGTGCTGCAGGGGATGGTTAGAGACTGGAGATGTGCTGCAGGGGGATGGTCAGAGACTGGAGATGTGCTGCAAGAGATGGTCAGAGACTAGAGATGTTCTGCAGAAAACGGTCACATTGGGAAAGTGTAGCAAGAGGTGGACAGAGACTGGAGATATGCTGCTGGGGATGGCCAGAGACTGGGGATGTGCTCCAGGAGATGGTCAGACTGGGAATGTGCTCCAGGGGATGGTTAGAGACTGGAGATGTGCTGCAGGGGATGCAGGGGATGGGTCAGAGACTGGAGATGTGCTGCAGGGATGGTCAGAGACTAGAGATGTTCTGCAGAAAACGGTCACATTGGGAAAGTGTAGCAAGAGGTGGACAGAGACTGGAGATATGCTGCTGGGGATGGCCAGAGACTGGGGATGTGCTCCAGGAGATGGTCAGACTGGGAATGTGCTCCAGGGGATGGTTAGAGACTGGAGATGTGCTGCAGGGGATGGTTAGAGATTGGAGATGTGCTGCAGGAGATGGTCAGAGACTGGAGATGTGCTGCAGGAGATGGTCAGAGACTGGAGATGTGCTGCAGGAGATGGTCAGAGACTGGAGATGTGCTGCAGGAGATGGTCAGAGACTGGAGATGTGCTGCAGGAGATGGTCAGAGACTGGAGATGTGCTGCAGGAGATGGTCAGAGACTAGAGATGTTCTGCAGAAAACGGTCACATTGGGAAAGTGAAGCAAGAGGGTAGACAGAGACTGGAGATATGCTGCTGGGGATGGTCAGAGACTGGAGATGAGCTGCAGGAGATGGCCAGAGACTGGGGGGGATGTGCTCCAGGAGATGGTCAGACTGGGAATGTGCTCCAGGAGATGGTCAGAGACTGGAGATGTGCTGCAGGGGATGGTCAGAGACTGGAGATGTGCTGCAGGAGATGGTCAGAGACTGGAGATGAGCTGCAATGTTTTTATTGCAAAGATCGCTCCGAAAGGGTTCGATGCTGTGTGCCGAAGGTTCATCCAGAGCACCCTGGACCCCCCCAGTGCTATGAGCCCCTTGTTCCTGCACCCTCCATGCACCCATCTTATCAAACACAATAAAAGCAACACGTCATCATATTTGTAGTCTTTTTTTTTTTTATTTTTTTTTGCAGCAGAGAGCAGCGATCCGATTTGGTCAGTTGGTGGGTTCAAAGTGGACAATGTGGTCTTGTCTGGTCTTGCCCAGCTGGAAGGCGGTGAGGCTCATCTCCTCCTGGTAACACGGGAGCTTCTTATAGACCCGCAGATGTATATATTGATCGTCTCCGACGTGAGTCTGAGGAGGACAACACAACGAGAACCGTCAATGCATCTGACAAAGAGGACCTGTCATCCATCTGACATTGGGATAAGTAAACTTCCTGCTGGTGAGTAGCTAGGAGAAGGTGACAGTGTGCACGGTTCGGGCCAGTGGGCCACCCGTCGTCACTGTAGCCACATCTGATGCCGGAACAGCCACCAGATGAAGACCGCAAGACGAGCCACGGGACACGAGGACTGGGGGGAGGCGGCAGAACCTCGGGACACGAGGACTGGGGGGAGGCGGCAGAACCTCGGGACACGAGGACTGGGGGGAGGCGGCAGAACCTCGGGACGCGAGGACTGGGGGGAGGCGGCAGAACCTCGGGACGCGAGGACTGGGGGGAGGCGGCAGAACCTCGGGACGCGAGGACTGGGGGGAGGCGGCAGAACCTGAAACTATAGTGAATAGGAGAAAAGAAAAGGAAGGAAGAGGGAGAAAAGAACACAATGAAGATAGGAAGGAAAAAGGAGAAGATGAAAGGCAAAACCAATGAAGAAAAAGGAAGGAAAAAATGCAAATAAAAGGGTAAAAAAAAAAGACAATAATACAAAAAGAAAAGAAAAAGGCAAAAAAAAATAGTAACCGGCGGAAAATACCGAAATAACTAAAAAAAATGAAAATAAGAGAAATGAAAATCAGAAAAATGGAAACAACGTTAATTTTAGAAATAAAAGATACAAATTAGAAAAACTGGAAAAAAAAAAAAAAATAGAAAGTTAAAAGTAAAAAAACACAAAGAAGACAGGAAGGAAAAAAGGAGAAGATGAAAAGAAAAACCATGGAAGGAAAAGGAAGGAAAAAATGTAAATAAAAGGGAAAAAAAAAAGATAATAATACAAAAAGAAAAGAGAAAGGCCAAAAAAATAATAACCAGAAAAATAAAACAACTAAAAAAAGGATAAAAATTAGAGAAATGAAAAAGGTAAGAAAACAAAAAAATGGGAACAAAATGATTTTTAGAAATAAAAGATACTAATTAGAAAAACTGAAAAAAAAAAAAAAATAAAATAGAAAGGTAAAAGTAAAAGATAAAAAATAATAAGAAGGAGGGGAAGGGAAGAATAGGAAACCCAGGCGGGAGAGAGAACAGGAAAAAAAAACAAGGAAAAGACCAAAAAGAAGACAAAAAGGAAAAAAAAAAAAAAAAAAGAGTGGAAAACCGGGCAGTGTACACGGTTTGCTTCATTGGGCCGCCCGACGTCACCGTAGCCACATCTGACGCTGGAGCGACCGCCAGATGAACACCGCAAGACGAGCCAAGGGACACGAGGACTGGGGGAGGCGGCAAAACCTCATATAGTGAATAGGAGAAAAGAAAGAGCGAGAGAAGGTGCGGGAGCAGTCATGGGAAAGGGGGGGGAAGTCTGAAAAAAAGAAAAAAAAAATTAAGAGGAAAAGAAGGAAGAGGGAGAAAAGAGCACAAGGAAAACAGGAAGAAAAAGGAGAAGATGAAAGGCAAAACCACTGAAGAAAAAGGATGGAAAAAATGCAGATAAAAGGGCAAAAAAAAGATAATAATACAAAAAGAAAAGAAAAAGGCAAAAATAGTAACCAAAAAAATAACTACAGAAACAACCATAAAAAAGGACAAAAATTAGAGAAATGAAAAAGGTGAGAAAATGAAAAACAAAAAAATGGGAACAAAATTATTTTTAGAAATAAAAGATACAAATTATAAAAATTGAAAAAAAATTTAAATAAAATAGAAAGTTAAAGTAAAAGATAAAAAATAAGAAGAAGGGGGGAGGGGAAGAATAGGAAACCCCGGGTGAAGGGGAAGGAGAACGGGAAAGAAAACAAGGAAAAGGCCAAAAAAAGAAGATGAACGAGAAAAAAAAAAAAGAAGACTAAAAGGAAAAAAAGAGTGGAAAACCGGCCAGTGTGCATGGCCAGTGGGCCACCCATCATCACCGTATCCACATCTGATGCCAGAGCGGCTGCCAGATGAAGACAGCAAGACGAGCCAAAGGATACCAGGACTGGGGGGAGGCGGCAGAACCTCATAAAGTTTAATGAATAGGAGAAAAGAAAGAGAGTGAGAAAAGGTGCAGGAGCGGGTGTAGTCATGGGGGGAGTCTGAAAAAAGAAAAAAAAATTAAAAGGAAAGGAAGGAAGGGGGAGAAAAGAACACAAGGAAGACAGGAAGGCAAAAGAAGATGAAAGGCAAAACCATTGAGAAAAAGGAAGGAAAAAATGCAAATAAAAGGGTAAAAAACAATAATACAAAAAGAAGAGAAAAAGGCAAAAAATAGTAACCGGAAAAATAAATACAGAAACAACTAAAAAAAAAAAAAAAAAAAAAAAGGACAAAAATGAGAGCAATGAAAAACAGAAAAATGGGAACAAAATTATTTTTAGAAATAAAAGTTACAAATTAGAAAAACTGGAAAAAAAATAGAAAGTTAAAGATAAAAAATAAGAAGAGGGGAGGAAGAATAGGAAACCTGGGGGGGGGGGGGGGGGGGGAGGGAGAACAGGAAAGAAAAACATGGAAAAGGCCAAAAAGAAGAAGATGAACGAAAAAAAAAAGAAGACAAAAAAGAGTGGAAAACCGGAGGGCGGGGGCTTAGTAAAGAGAAAAAGAAGAGAAGAAAGCTTACAGAAAGAACCACATGTAAGCCTCATGCACATGGGACATTTTTACAGCGGCTGTTTTTGGCTTTTGACGTTTTTTTTTTCTACAGCCATTAAACCCCCCAGCATGCTATCCTAGGTGTCCATGCACACAGAGACTGGAATCAACGTTTTTAGGCGTTGAGACCGCCAGGCTGTACTGTGTCCAGTGCATAAATCCACTATGTCTCCCTGTGCAGGAGGAGACAGTCACAGTCCCCACCCCTCGCAGGTTGATGGACAATGTCCAATAACCATGCCCCTCACTTCATGTACGGGGTGTATCTTTGGTGACAACATGTGCACCCACAGGTTCGGTGAGCTGCATTACCTTGATGAAGTAATTTGTTCCGGCAACAAGCTGAGTCTTGTATTCCACGGCCTCAAAAGTGCTGAAATTCATCCCGGATCTCTGCTCCACCTCCGCTTTGAACTGGAAGAGAAGAGACACTGATGAGTGCCCCAATGTGGTCTCCTAACTCCTGGGGTGTATTGGAGAGAAAATCGAACATTCACATTTCCCAACATTCGTACTGAAGTAAAGTACGTTCACTTTCACCGGACCAAAAGTTCAGCATTTTTTATTTTTCCATAACACACCCCATACACCAACCTAGACCCGGCCCCAACCGAACGATTTCATCTTTATGTTTTTTAACAGATATCTTCTCAACAAAAAGAAGGAGAGAGTAAAACACAGCGATTTCCTATGAGACTGATCACGTGTTTCCACAATCCCACTGATCACCAATATAGGGGGGACTACACCGATCACCAATATAGAGGGAACTACACCGATCACCAATATAGGGGGAGGGGACTACACTGATCACCAATATAGAGGGAACTACACTGATCACCAATATAGAGGGGACTACACCGATCACCAATATAGGGGGAGGGGACTACACTGATCACCAATATAGAGGGAACTACACCGATCACCAATATAGAGGGGACTACACTGATCACCAATATAGAGGGGACTACACTGATCACCAATATAGGGGGGACTACACCGATCACCAATATAGAGGGAACTACACTGATCACCAATATAGAGGGAACTACACTGATCACCAATATAGAGGGGACTACACTGATCACCAATATAGAGGGAACTACACTGATCACCAATATAGAGGGGACTACACTGATCACCAATATAGAGGGGACTACACCGATCACCAATATAGGGGGGACTACACCGATCACCAATATAGGGGGGGGGACTACACTGATCACCAATATAGAGGGAACTACACTGATCACCAATATAGAGGGGACTACACTGATCACCAATATAGAGGGGGGGGTACACCGATCACCAATATAGAGGGACTACACCGATCACCAATATAGGGGGGACTACACTGATCACCAATATAGAGGGGACTACACTGATCACCAATATAGGGGGAACTACACTGATCACCAATATAGAGGGGACTACACTGATCACCAATATAGAGGGGACTACACTGATCACCAATATAGAGGGAACTACACTGATCACCAATATAGGGGGGGACTACACTGACCACCAATATAGGGGGGGACTACACCGATCACCAATATAGGGGGGGACTACACCGATCACCAATATAGGGGGGACTACACCGATCACCAATATAGGGGGGGACTACACCGATCACCAATATAGGGGGGGACTACACCGATCACCAATATAGGGGGGACTACACCGATCACCAATATAGAGGGGACTACACCGATCACCAATATAGGGGGGACTACACCGATCACCAATATAGGGGGGACTACACCGATCACCAATATAGGGGGGGGACGACACTGTAAGGGAAAATGGAGCAGCCATTTCTAGATATAAATATGAAATACATTGGTATTGAATTAGATGGCCTAACAACCTATTTTCCTTTCCTGCTGGCTCAACATTTAGCGCTTCACTTCTACTTCCAGTCTATTGTCTACAAGATTATTATCACAGCCTTTGAAGATCTGTTAAACCCAAAAGACAATGGAAGTAACAATAACATGTGTACTATTCGCATCTCAATGAGTTACACCAAAGACACAGATGACTGTTCAAAGAAAGATCAGATAGCTAGGTACCACCCACTGTAGAGCATAGAAATTGTATTAGAAAGCCCTAGTTAGACAGAGCATTACTTTGAATCCAACACTATGTATTGTTCTGCTCTCCCTGCATGGAGGTCTAGCTACATGCTTGTATAATAAACATCTACTTTTCAATCCGGCTTCAGCAGTCAAAATGTTACTGAAACCCATGAGTTTTGGGTTTCCCCGTCAGACACCGATCACCAATATAGGGGGGACTACACCGATCACCAATATAGGGGGGACTACACCGATCACCAATATAGAGGGGACTACACTGATCACCAATATAGAGGGGACTACACTGATCACCAATATGGGGGGGGGGGATATACTGATCACCAATATAGGGGGGGACTACACCGATCACCAATATAGAGGGGACTACACCCATCACCAATATAGAGGGGACTACACTGATCACCAATATAGAGGGGACTACACTGATCACCAATATGGGGGGGGGGGATATACTGATCACCAATATAGGGGGGACTACACACCGATCACCAATATAGAGGGGACTACACCCATCCCATCACCAATATAGAGGGGACGACACCCATCACCAATATAGAGGGGATGACACCCATCACCAATATAGAGGGGACTACACCCATCACCAATATAGAGGGGACTACACCCATCACCAATATAGAGGGGACGACACCCATCACCAATATAGAGGGGACGACACCCATCACCAATATAGAGGGGACGACACCCATCACCAATATAGAGGGGACTACACCCATCACCAATATAGAGGGGGACTACACCGATCACCAATATAGGTGGGACTACACCGATCACCAATATAGAGGGGGACTACACCGATCACCAATATAGAGGGGGACGACACCGATCACCAATATAGAGGGGACTACACCGATCACCAATATAGGTGGGACTACACCGATCACCAATATAGAGGGGACTACACCCATCACCAATATAGGTGGGACTACACCCATCACCAATATAGGTGGGACTACACACCATCACCAATATAGGTGGGACTACACCCCTCACCAATATAGGTGGGACTACACCCATCACCAATATAGGTGGGACTACACCCATGACCAATATAGGGGGACTACACCCATCACCAATATAGGTGGGACTACACCCATCACCAATATAGAGGGGACTACACCGATCACCAATATAGGTGGGACTACACCGATCACCAATATAGAGGGGACTACACCGATCACCAATATAGAGGGGACTACACAGATCACCAATATAGAGGGGACTACACCGATCACCAATATAGAGGGGACTACACCGATCACCAATATAGAGGGGACTACACCGATCACCAATATAGGGGGGACTACACCCATCACCAATATGGGGGGGACTACACCCATCACCAATATAGGTGGGACTACACCCATCACCAATATAGGGGGACTACACCCATCACCAATATAGGTGGGACTACACCCATCACCAATATAGGTGGGACTACACCCATCACCAATATAGGGGGACTACACCGATCACCAATATAGGGGGGGCTACACAGATCACCAATATAGGGGGGGCTACACAGATCACCAATATAGGGGGGACTACACCGATCACCATATATAGGGGGACTACACCGATCACCAATATAGAGGGGGACTACACCGATCACCAATATAGAGGGGACTACACCGATCACCAATATAGAGGGGACTACACCGATCACCAATATAGAGGGGACTACACCGATCACCAATATAGAGGGGACTACACCGATCACCAATATAGGGGGGACTACACCCATCACCAATATAGGTGGGACTACACCCATCACCAATATAGGTGGGACTACACCCATCACCAATATAGGGGGGACTACACCGATCATCAATATAGGGGGGACTACACCCATCACCAATATAGGGGGACTACACCGATCACCAATATAGGGGGGCTACACAGATCACCAATATAGGGGGGGCTACACAGATCACCAATATAGGGGGGGGCTACACAGATCACCAATATAAGGGGGGACTACACCCATCACCAATATAGGGGGGGACTACACCGATCACCAATATAGGGGGGACGACACCGATCACCAATATAGAGGGGACTACACCGATCACCAATATAGGGGGGACTACACCGATCACCAATATAGGGGGACTACACCCATCACCAATATAGGGGGGGACTACACCCATCACCAATATAGGGGGGACTACACCCATCACCAATATAGGGGGGACTACACAGATCACCAATATATATAATGAATCCCCGGATGTCCAGTCCTCCCAGCATCTCTGCAGGGTCCTCCTGGCTTGTGCTGGGACCCCCATCTAGGGCGGGACTACAAGTCTCAGCAGCATAAAGAGGACACAGCCGGCAGAAGAGCTGACACTCCACACTCAGCTCCGCCCCCCCTCAAATACATTGTATCCCGCCTCTAATAGAAACAATGTATCTCATCAGCCCGTCACGTGACCCGCCCCCCCACCCGTTTCCACCCCCCCGGTCTCCCCCTCCCCGGGGAATGGTCGCACAGCGCCCCCTGCCGCCTCACTCACCTGATCACAGATCTCCTGCACCTCCGAGGTGGCAGATTTCACCCCCCCGAGACCCCCGCACATCGGCATTATTGGTTCCGTCCGAGCGGCGCTCCCTTCACTGCACAGTACGGCTGTAGAGGGGCGGACTGTACCAATGACTTCCTGGGGAGGGGTGGACGGAAACTCCCCCTCCTTGTGGGCGGGGCATGGTGAAGGGCGTGTCATGTAAAGAATGCTTTGTTACAAAACGTCTTCCAAACTACAACATTGTCCCCTGAATCTCCCTTCCTCCAGGACAGAGTCCCCTGCATGTGAATGTCTGATCTCCCCTCCTCCAGGACAGAGTCCCCTGTATGTGAATGTCTGATCTCCCCCTCTCAAGGACAGGATCCCCTGTGTGTGAATGTCCGATCTCCCCTCCTCCAGGACAGGATCCCCCTGTATGTGACTGTCCGATCTCCCCTCTTCCTGGACAGAATCTCCTGTATGTGACTGTGCGATCTCCCCTCCTCCAGGACAGGATCTCCTGTATGTGACTGTCCGATCTCCCCTCCCTCCAGGACAGGATCCCCTGTATGTGACTGTGCGATCTCCCCTCCTCCAGGACAGGATCCCCTGTATGTGACTGTGCGATCTCCCCTCTTCCAAGACAGAATCCCCCTGTGACTGTCCAATCTCCCCTCCTCCAGGACAGAATCCCCTGTATGTGACTGTCCGATCTCCCCTCCTACGGGACAGAATCCCCTGTATGTGAATGTCCGATCTCCCCTCCTCCAAGACAGTGTCCCCTGTATGTGAATGTCTGATCTCCCCCTCCTCCAGACAATATTTGCTGCATGTGAATGTCCGATCTCCCCTCCTCCAGGACAGGATCCCCTGTATGTGAATGTCCGATCTCCCCTCCTCCAGGCCAGTGTGCCCTGTATGTTAATGTCTGATCTCCCCTCCTCCAGATCAGAATCCTTTATGTAAATATCCGATCCCGCTCCTCCAGGACAGGATACTCTGCATGTGAATGTCCGATCTCCCCTCTTCCCAATACAGGATCCCTTGCCTGTGAATGTTCAATTCTCCTCCTCCAATACAGGATCCCTTGCCTGTGAATGTTCAATCTCCCCTCCTCCAGACAGGATCCCTTGTATGTGAATGTCTGATCTCCCTCCTCCAGTACAGCACTGGTGAATGTACTCCAGAACAACATACTGAAGGAAGCGCTGGAAACATTTCAGACTTGGAGGTGTAATCAGATGAAAGAAAACACGCCGTGACGAGGCGACTCCCCCACTGCAAGGATTCCCTCCATGAGACCCAACAGACGCTAAAACCAGAAGGCCTCACATACCCGGCTGCTCCTAGACGGGAGATTAGGACCTTTCGCCGTTTTTTTTGCTGTTTTGTGACAAAGCCCCTGAACTCACCCCAAAAAATGCCTGTGTGTCCGAGTACATAGAGGCGTTACCAGAGGATAGGGGCAGCTGAACGTTCCTCTCCTGAACATGGAAAAATCGCAATCAGGAGAAGAACACTTTGGCCAAAAAAAGCTAAACGCCATGAAGAAAAAAAAAAGTGTAAACGTTGGCCTCATTTATTGCTTGGGCGTTTATTCATGTCAGTTTAAAAAATATTGTTTCCAATCAAAAGAATGAATGTGTAAGCGCTAAATACGAGTAAATACGGTACCCCGGTACCGTCGAGCGTTTTATTGCTGCCGCAGGAGCGATAAACGTCTAGGGAGTTCATGTGCACATAGTTACATAGTTAGTCTGGCTGAAAAATGACATCCCATCCAGTTCAACCCACTAAAAAAAAAAAAAAAGTTATAATCCTACACCCACAGTTGATCCAGAGGAAGGCAAAAAAACCCAGCAATCATGCGATCCAATCTGCTCCTGCAGGGAAAGAAATTCCTCCCCCGAGAGGCAATCAAGGATATTCCCCTGGATCACCTTTCCCTATAAATGTTATAATATCCAGTTATATTCTGTGTATCCAAGAAAGAATCCAGGACTTTCCTACAGCAACCCACTGAGCTGGCCACAAACCAACTCTGAGGGAGTCCCTATTCCACATTCCACAGCTCTTACTGTGAAGAATCCTTTCCGTGTTTGGAGATGAAAGTGGGTTACTAAATCCCAGAACCCGCCTTCACCAAATGTCCACTCTCCTCGGACCCCCCACCTTCACAATATCAGCTTCCCCATAGTACCCCGCCTCACCAAACCATTCTCACCCCCCTTCAACCGTATCCGCTCTCCCCGGACCCCGCCTTCACCGTATCCGCTCTCCCCCGGACCATATCGCACTCCCCCGGACCCCATTCCGCACCATACATCAAGTTCCTCCCCCGGACGTACCCCGCCTCCACCGAATCCGCTCTCCCCGGACCCCGCCTGCACAATATCAGTTCCTCCCGGACCCCGCCCCGCCTTCACTATAATCCGCTCTCCCCCGGACCGCGCCTTCACCGTATCCGCTCTCCCCGGACCCCGGACCGCGCACCTTCATCCGTATCAGTTCCTCCCGGACCCCGCCCCACTATATCCGCTCTCCCCGGACCCCGCATTCACTATATCCGCTCTCCCCTCCCGGACCCCGCATTCACTATAATCCCGCTCTCCCCGGACCCCGCATTCACTAATATCAGTTCCTCCCGGACCCCCCCCCCACTATATATCCGCTCTCCCCCCTGACGCCGCCTCCACCACTGTATCCGCTCTCCCCGGACGCCGCCTCCACCATATCCGCTCTCCCCGGACGCCGCCTCCACCAATATCCGCTCTCCCCCGGACGCCGCCTCCACCATATCCGCTCCCCCGGACGCCGCCTCCACCATATCCGCTCTCCCGGACCCCGCATCCACCATATCCGCTCTCCCCGGACCCCGCCTCCACCATACCCTCTCTCCCCGGACCCCGCATTCACCATACCCGCTCTCCCCGGACCCCGCATTCACCATACCCCGCTGTCCCCCGGACCCCGCATTCACCATACCCGCTGTCCCCGGACCCCGCATTCACTATATCCGGTCTTCCACAGTACACAGAACATGGAAATGACATTATTTTAGTAAATATAAACTGCTACATCCCTTTTTCGCATCAGCAATATAGAGCAGTCTTGTGACTTCTGTCAGTGTCCAGCAGAGCACTGGTTAAAGCTTGTAGGAGAAGTTTTCTTTCTGCTCTAGGAGGATGCAGAACCCCTGACCTCTGTCTGGACTGCGTTTGAGTTACATAGACTGTAAGGGCCGCTTCACACTATACAATGTGCATTTAGCGGATTGGCTGGAGTCGGGTTTGCAGGTCGGTTCCGCACAGGTAGGCCAGTACTTCTGATTGGAGACCCAAGTCGTCTTCTCCCGGCCCGCACCTGACATGTCACGGCCGTGTAACAAGAGACTGCAAAGTTACTAGAGAGTGCTTTTTATTTTTTTGTTTTCTATAAAATCGATATGAACAAATAATAATTCTAACGCAGGGACAGAATGGTGTATTTTGTGAATACTGTGTGTGGCAGACCTGCGTTCTGGCGGTAAGAAGGACGCTATATCCTGGGGCTCACATATCAAATCTCCACGCGAGCTGACCGATGGAACGCAGGCGACTCTGTGCGCTCAAACCTGAACCGGGCCAGAGCGGTATGCTACTACAGCCAATCCCATCCAGACAACCCGCCCCATGGATCAGGGACCCAACGGGCTGCAGACTGATTTCAGATAAAAGAGGTTAAAAAAAAAAGTATGCGCTATTTACTGACAAAAACAACAAACAACATAAATATGAACAATGTAAACAAGCAACAGTCTGCAACAGCACAAGTGTGAATAAAGAACAAAATCAGACATTTCAATTCATGGGGGGGCGGCTTCTCCAACAGTCCAGAACGGCACACGCAGTGGTGCAAATAAAGACCATACATAAATCGTGGCGTTTCATTGGCCGGGCAGTCTCTCCAAAATCTCTGCCCTCTGCTTGAACTTGTCCAGGATCTCTCGCAGGTCGGCCAGCAAGTCCTCCTTCATGAACGCCTCGTACTCCCGCCGCTCCGTCTTCAGGCGCCTCTCCTCCAGGTGTTTCTGAAACGGAAGACAGAGAGCAATCAGTCTAAGATGCCAACACACATTGTAACGGAAACCCGGACCCCGACTGCACCAGGGTATTTCCGTTAGACTCCCCGCTTCCCTGTCCGAACACAGATCCACGGACACCACCGCTGACCATACAAGACAGCACCAGACTTAAAATAAAGCAGTCCACTTCCTGTTTTAATACAACACAGACACAAGATATATATACACAGGGCGGGGCAATACATTCAGTAACAAGAGATGCACAGCAGACACCCCCCACCAAGCTAATACACAAACACATACATCCCATAATAGTTTGCTCCCAAGCAAGACACAATAGAACAATGGGAGCACGTGGCAGTAAACAATGAACAACCCCCACACCCCCACCTATACATGTCTACACAATAGCAGGACAATCACCCTGTACCCCTAACAGGCACAGGGTGACTTACACATAACAGGGATATGGGGAGCTGAGACAGGGGTCTCCCCACCTCTCCAAAGGGGGCTGTGTTCCATGGGCCCCCCACCCAAAGTGACTCCCGTCACACACGATCATGGGACAAGAGATCTCACCATCTGTGGTTGGCACTTTTGCCTTGCAGAAACATCGGTTTGAATCCCGGTTAGGACACTGCATGAAGTTTACATGTTCTCCCTGTGCCTGCATGGATTACCTCTGGGCTCTCCAGGTAGATTGGCTCCTGTCCTGCCTAGCATGTGTGTATGGGACCCTCCATCGTAAGAGCCTTGGGGGTAGGGACAGTTGTGAACGTATTGTAAAGCACGGTGTGTGTTCCTGAGGAAGTCACGTGTCCGTGATGCAACGCGTCGGAACGGAGGCTGGTGACGTCACTTCTGGTCCAGACTGAAGGACTGCATTCGGAGTTGTTTTATTGGAGTCTACATAATCGTATTTAACCGCTTTAGCGCCACCCCATAACAGAAATACTGCTACAGGGCGGCCGCTGTGCGCAAAAATCACATATTTATACTTGATTTTGCATTTCCGGGTAGGGGGCGCACGCCCGGGGATCAATCTCCGGGTCCCGGCCGGGGATCAATCTCCGGGTCCCGGCCGGGATCAATCTCCGGGTCCCGGCCGGGGATC